TTCTTAAAAACACACAACATAAGATCTTTCTCGTCGGTCTGGGAAGGGCACTAAGAACATCCATGTAAATGTCTCTGAAGCAGGGAAACCGCCTTCCAGCTCCATCATGCTCCTTGCTTTCCTTGCGCACAGATGGAATAACAATTTACTGTTCCCTGATAGGCACATTCTTAAATTCCTTTGTGAGTAATACTGGGCAAACTTCCCGCATGTGTGCGTCACGCATCGTATGGGAAAGCACGGATGAGATCAGAGAGGGCCCCGGCCGGAAGTGTGGCCGCGCAGGAGCTGCGTGACGAGTGGCTCGCAGTCATTTCTGCAGCGACTTCTGCCCTCTGAGGTCAGACCTGCGGGCCCCTTCTGCAGCTCGACACCCTGGGAGTGCAAAGCCACTTTAATAGGACGCTCGCCCCAGGCGGGCATCAGCTGCAAGGGCAGCGCCTCTGGAGGGGGAGCCGCTGCAGGGGGCCTTCGGCGACGGCCGCCCCTCTCCTGGGCCGTGGCTGGCACGGCACTCCTGCTCGGCTCACGGTGGACGTGTGGGCAGTGCAAATCTGATTAACACTGTCTGCTCCGCTGCAGGCCACAGGGTTCCCCGGCGCGACCTGGTGTGATGCATGCCCCCTGACACCACCACCCAGGGAGAGTTTTCCTAGCATACCCACGTGACTGTAACCCACAATGAAGGCGGCAAGAAGGCAGAGGGTCTAGAGGGACACAGGAGCCATGAGCCTCAAACGGAAGAGGGTGGATGGCGGCAGTCAGGGTGGGGGGAGGGGCGTTCGTGGAAGAGGGGGATGCTCCCGATGGGCTTTCTCTGTACTCACTGGTGAAGGGGACCACTTAGAAGAGCCACACGGAGAACCCCAACAGACGGAGGGGGACAGACAGACAGGAGCGAGGCCACCTGGGCTGGGAGTACTGCCAGGCCTTGCGCTGGCTGCAGCCAAGAGAGCAGGTGGCAGCCGTAACTTACAAAGAACAAAGAGGCCGACAGTGAAGGGACAGTCGCCCGCACAGCCGGGGTCTTGCACTACAGGCATCAGAGGCTGAGGAAGAGGCTGGGAGTGAGACCAGGCAGAGAAGAAGAGGGGCCGAGAAAGGTCCTATCGAGGCGCTCGGGGACCCTGGTTGTGGCAGCCACCTGAGGTGACGAAGGGGGCGGTGGGGAGAGCCAGGCAGGACAGGGTGTGGGCTGCAGGGTGGGGGTGGAATCCAGCGAGGCTCAGAGGCTGAGCCCCAAGCCCAACAGGGACAATGGGGACCAGACCCGGGAGAACCCTCAAAACAGGGCAGAAACAGACTGGCCAGCAGAGGGAAGGAGAGAGAGGCCCTCAGGCTGGAGACCGGACCCCGGACTGCGGGCAGGCTGCCTCCCGCCTTCCTCCTTCAGCCCCTGGGGCTCATCGCCTCCCGCCCCTCGGCGGTCACCACATGCCGCTGATTCTGCCACCCAGGGACCTCTGGCCTCCATCACCCCTGTGCCCTCCCGGTCCCTGCCCTGGACTGACCTCCATCCGTCTTGCCGGGAGCCATGCCATGCGGCCCTGCCTCAGCCCTGGACCTCAGAACGCAGTTAGACTTGGAAGCAGCCCACGCAAGGCCTGTGGCCTCCACGGGCTCACCTGGGGCCCCGTCTCCCTCTGCTCCATGCCCCGCTTTTACGGTCCAGCTGAGCTGAGCTGCGCCGAGCTGAGCACCCAGCAACCTCTCCTTCCTGGGCTCCCCCGCCCCCACCCCGCACCATGATTCACCCGAACACAGCCCGGGGGGCTCCTCCCTCAGGAGCCTGCCACATCCCCCAGGTAAGAACAAGCCCATGGCCATGGGTCTCCATGGCAACCCAGGAAGGCTCCCTCCCCGACACATAGCAAATCCCAATGTCATTGCCTCTTTATGTGCATGTTCTCCCCACAATCTGGGGAAATCAGTGAGACCAGGGGCTATGCATGGCCCACAGTGGGTTCTCAGGAAAGGCGAGCTAAGAGACAGATAAGGACACTCCCAGTGCCACTGCTGGAACCCGCAGAGGCGGCCCCGGTGGCTCCCGGGCGAGGAAGGAGACATGCGTTCGTCAGCTTTGGGCACTCAAGCTGCAGCCGCCGAGACGGCCAGTACAGGCCGGGCCACAGGCAGGACTTGTGTAACGCTACCTCCTGGACCCTCTGTGATGCCCCCTCCACATCCAAGACCCCTCGTGTCTCCCTGGGAACCCCCGCAACACTCACACGTGTGTGCAGGCCCGCGTGCGCCCTGCCCGCGCCGTCAAGCCTGCTCGGAACTCGTCAGCCCTCCGGCCCTCGCCATCAATGTCCCTGAGTGTCAGGTGCTGGCCGTCCAGGCAGCCCCTGCCCCCCACCCCGGGGCATCTGCCAGATGCCAGAGCTCCCGCCGGAGCCTCCCCGGCCTGTTCTGACTTGGGGCGGCCGGGCCAGCCCCGATCGGAGGCGGCTGCCCCCGCGCGGAACGCGATCTCGTCTTCTTCCTGACAGACGTCTTGCCGCTGTAGCCAGAGCTCGTTCATTCGCGCATATGATTTGTGAACTAATTCGGCATGTAAGAAAAACATCTGCATTTCGCTTTTATCAGCCTGCCAGCAGACAGGCTGAAGACAAGATGTGCACTCCAGACGTGTTTAATGGGGCCTTCAACACTGCCTCGCGCTCGCCCCCGCGCACAGGAAGGCGGCTCCGGTTCCAGAGCTCGTCTGCTGGAATGGACCTAACAAACAAACACGAGACGCACGCCCTCATCAAGGCGTCCGTATGGCAGGGACAGGCAGGCTGGCCGTGAACGCACGCCCGAGTCCCACTGACAGCACACCAGCCGCGGGGACTGCCTCGGGATGTGGGGACTGGAAAGGTGCCCCAGTTATTTGCAACCGTGGGCTAGGTCTGAGTGCCTTCTATGATATACCATTTGAAGGTTTTCACCTAAAGGAAGGTGGACTCGTAAGTGTACATGTTTGGGGCACACCGCCACAGGATGACGGAGCTGCCAGGCCTGGGTCTCCCCCAGGAAGATATGTTCGAACCCCTGGACGGGTGACAGCGACTTGATTTGGAAGCAGAGTCTTTGCAGAGGAGCTCAAGTTAGAATGAGGTTGCATTGGCTCAGCGTGGACCCTGAGCCAGTGGCTGGCATCCTTAGGAGAGGATGTCTGCACGCACAGACACGGACACACGGGAGGCCATGGGCGGCGGGGCCCGAGGCTGCGGTGCCGCCCTGGTAGGAGCCACCGGAAACCAGGAGGGAGGCGCGGCATGGCGCCTCTGGAAGAGGTCAGCCCGTGGACACCTGGAGCTCGGACTCTGGCTTCCGGACCCTGAGAGAACACACTGCCGCCATTCTCGCCACCCAGACCCCAGAACCACACACGGAGGGCCAGGCCGTGTCCCCCAGTGGTGGGGAAGGTGGCGTTCCAGGCCCCCTGGGGCTGCCAAGGGGCGCGACTGGAGGGCCACCGGCCCCGGGGACGAGGAACCCGGCACTGCTGCTGATGAATGGCCTCACACAGAAGTCCCCAAATGCCCCAGGTCTCCACCTGTTCCTCCACAAGGCGCGGGGATCGGACAGGAGAGGAGCCCCTTGCTTTCCAGTCACTTCCTTTCAATAAGCCCCTACCCTGCCTTGTGCACCAGGGAGCCCGCTGAGCCCTCCAGCGCTGTTGGTTCCCGTGCGGGGACGACACACTTGCCACCCTAACCATTTGTGCCTTCACACCGTTCCGGCCGGCGGCCCTCATGCCAGTGGCAGCCCTGCCGCCGTCCCCAGGACACGGGCAGCCAGAGCAGGCCCTGGGGGGCTCCCACTGGCAGCCGACACTTGTCATGGTGGCCTGAGAGCGCAGCCCCCAACCCAGATCGCCCCCCGTGGAGCCTGAGACGCAACAGTCCCTGGAGGACCCACCGGACCGCCTTTCTCTGGTCTGCCAGTGGCCAGAAACGCTGCGGAGAGTCCCGCTTGAGAGCAGGGACACTTCGGCCCATTCCTTGGGCTGACTTCTTTCCTTAGCATGCTGGGAAGTCCTCCGGGGAGGAGCAGCAGGGTTTGCCACACCCTTTGCCGCAAGAAGGACGCCTTCGAGGCCGCCCTTGCCAGGGTCTTAGACGTCCCCCACCGCCGGCCGCGCTCTGGGGAAGGCGGGCCAGGGCCTGCCAGGGACCGTGGGGGTCAACAGGAATCCTGTGACAATGCCCTCTGTCCTCTGACACAGGTCTTCACATCCTGGAAGCCAGAACGTTCTCTTAGGAAGAAAGATCTTGCTCCTCCGTCCAAAAGAGTAAAACTGCAGCCCTTCCCAGGCTCCGGGGGCTCCAGGTCCCAGCCGCAGGCCATCAGCATGCGCTGCAGCCCCGGCCTTGCTCTCAGCTCTTCTTGCTGCTCTTGCGGGTTTACTAGTCTTCCGACGAGCTCCATGAGGAGAGGCCTGAGGTCAGGCCTGCTCACGGCGCCGTCCCAGCTCCCGATCTGGGCCCTGGCTGCTGCCCCTCCGCTGAGCATGACAGAGGCTGCCTCGCAGGGTCAGCACGACCTGACCTGGCTCCGCTGCACCTCGAAGGCTGGCCCTCCACGCCCAGAGCTCACGCGCGCAAGGGGCTTTGAGAGGACGGGCGCTGAGGCAGACAAGCTGCAGTCAACCTTCCACCCCGGGGTCTGTGTTGCAATCCGTGAAGGGCCAAGGGGGTCTCTTGCAAATGTCGGTCAGGAGCCAGGAATTTGAACTTGCTCCTGGCTGTACAGTGATGTGGCTCCCTTCCCAGCTGTCATGGAAAATTGTGTCCCAAGTTATTTCTGCTGAGTTCTGCGCCCATATCAACTCTCTCCAGGTGGGATGGCTCCCGGTGCAGGCTTTGTGGCACCGAGGGTTAGGTACTCGGAGTGAACACAGGTCCCACGTACGTCAGCGGCAGCATTGAGAACAAGCTCTGGGGTGCGGGTGCCAGCCCTGAGGACCCCCAAACCCCTCGACGCCCCTCCCCCCCAGCCATCGAGCTCACCGCTAAGCGGGTGGGGCACGGTGAACTGCTTCTTGCTGGTGCGGACAGGCAGGGGGCCCTGCTTCGGCCCCGGGCTCTCCTTCCGCTGGGCTCGCCTCTGCTGAATCATGCGCTCCAGCCTCCTCAGCCGCTCTTGCGAGCGAGAGATGAACTGAGGCTTCCGGACTTCCAGGGCTTCCTGAAGGAGCCAAGAAAGCATGTTATTTTTAAGAGAAGGGACACAGAAAGGCGCCCCTTTGTCTGACCTGGTCCAGAAGCTGATCTGAAGGACAACGCTCCGAGACCAAAAGCCCCAGTGCTCAAACATGCCACTGGTTTCTCGGAGCAGCTCACGGGAAGACCGCCGCAGACCTGCTGAGGGCCGGTCCCGGCCGTCCATCCCTGCCAGCGCCCAGGGCCCCGCGGCCGCGCGGCGGCCCATAGCCAGCGTCCAGGTTACGAGAGCAAAGGTGCACGCCCACCCGTTTCCACTTTCACCCCGTCGGCCCCTTCATTCCTAAGAGTCCCAAAGTGGAGTGTGCCCCGAGTTCCACTCCCAGACACCGGGGCAGGGCGGGCGCCGCCAGCCGCTCGCTGCCGTGGGGGCTGGGCCCCTGAGGCAGCGCAGGCCCAGGCCCCCCGACCCTGCCCCGTGTAATGTCTCCTCCAGGGAAAAGCAGTTGGCAAAATATCTCCGCCTACACAAAACGGTTCTGCGCCTTCCACAGAGAAGGCCAGAATCCCCCGCGTCTCCCTGTGGGCCCGTCGCTCACACCCTGTGACCTCCCTGCACCGGGTCCCCCACTCAGAATGCCGCCCCCGGGCCAGGCATTTCACGGGTGTTCATCGTCTCGGGGACCCCTCCGTCGACACCGGAAGGCAGATAGAGTCAGCCTCGTTGACAGAGGCAAACACTGAGGCCAGTTGTAGCCTGGTGGCGCGCGGCTGCGGGAGGCCACGCCCTTCCCACCCCGCCTGTCATCCTCTGGGCCAGCCACTGCCGGGAAAGCCCCGTTCACATTGTTCCCTGCCTCGGCCACAGCCCCAGCCGCAGCCATCGGCTCGCGTGCCAGCAGTCCCCCCGTTCAGCCGGAGCATCCTGGTACCTCGCACACCACCGTGTGCAGGAGGGCTCGCATGTGCCTGCCTCCACGCTGGCCCGTGAGCTCCTGAGGGCACGGGTCGTGTCTCATCCACGCTGTATCCCTCACAGCCAGTACCCGGGCTCTGCACATAGTAGGTGCTCAGCAAAGGCCCTCTGGAGGCACAGCCCCATCCCTTTCCCAGCCCTGGGGGAGCTCAGAATTGGGGGGGTGGGAGGCCCCCGGGGCTCCTTCTGTTCATAGATGAGCCCCTGGCAGCCGGGCCAGGAAAGGGGTCTTCTTGGTGCCAGACCTGGAGCCCGGGCCAAGTCCCCAGGGCCTGGAGGGCCGGCCCCTGGGGACAGCCTACCGGCCAGGCGAGGCTGCTGCCCCAGCAGCCCATCCTGAGGCTGGAGGCTCAGGCTGCTCTGGGGCCCCATGGGTCCCTCTCCGTGGGCCCGCCAGGCCTCGGGTGCAGCGGCCGGTGACAGAGCCCCCTCCACACGTGCAGGGCGGCCTACACCGTCCGTCTCAGGGGCCTTCCCAGGAGGTGCGGCTGTCGATCCACAGTGAGCAGGGCCTTTCTGTGAGGTACCTGCCTTCTCATTGTTCCCCCTCCATGTATTTGAACTTTAAAAATGTGTACATATTCCTGCCACACCCCGGAGCAGATGCCAATTAAAAGCTGCCGCGTCCTTGAACGCAGGGCTGAGTGACTTTGGGCCACTTCCTTCATCTTCCAAAGGCTTCATGTCCCCATCTGAGGACAGGGTCACAGGGACCCCCGCCCCAAAGGGGTGCCCTGAGGGCGGGAGGCGCTGACGCCCAGGAAGCAACCTGCCCCATGTCTGGGCACCGTGATGTTTCACCAAATGCAGCCATCGCTGTGGCCATGTGTTGAGATGACGTGTCCCTCGTCTTGCTCAGTGAAGCAGGTCTCACTATCGCCGTGACTCACACTGTGGAACCCAGAGGCCCAGAGAGGGCAGGGCGCCTGCCCAAAGTCACACAGCCCCCACGGAGAGGAGCCGGCTCGGCAGCCTCAGAGCCGGAACGGAGGCGGTGTGACCGCGGACCCCCCAGCGAAGGTCTCCCCTTGGGGGGAACCAAGGCTAGGCACGCAGAAGGCCTTACCTGCAAGGTCAAGGAGGAGGTGGCAGGTAACTGCTGGCACTCAGGACGCTCTTCCTGCAGGCCGGGGGCCTCCGGTTCCTCGGGGGGCGCAGGCTGGGGCGGCGTGGGCGTGGGTGCGGGCGCAGGCACGGGCGCGGGCGCGGGCGCGGCGGAGGCCTCGCCGCTCGGGCACTCCTTTATCTTCACAACCAGGTCGCAGCACGTGTAATCGCCTGGGAGAGGAGAGCGAGAGCCCGTCAGAGGGCAGCGGGTGCCTTTCGCCGGCTCCCCAGCGCCCTGCGCACAGCAGACGATGTGGAAAACAGAAATGCCGGCGGGCTGTCCACGGGCCCCATGAAGCCGCGATGTCACGGCTCGTCACAGACCCCCCGGCTGCCCTGGGCACCGGCAAGAAGGTTTGCCGACGGCCAGACTTTGCGACCGGCTGTGCTGATCATGCCGCAAGGGCTTCCCTTGGCTTCTGATGCACAAATTCCTTAGCTCACGTTGAAAAGAAACGTTTCTATTCCGTGCTTCCTATTAAGTGTGTCCTGCACAATTATGACACTTCAGTTGTTTGTGGACAGAGTATCATTTATCTTATGTTTGCTCCGTTAATGCTGCAAGACAGAGGGGCATGTTCAATTATGCTGCCCTGTCTCAGGAGGACTTGGTCCCATCCGGGGCCACAATGACATTCCTCTGTGGACAGGGTGGGCCGGGGCCGGGGGCAGAGCTGACTCCACAGCCCTCGAGGCAGGGCGGCCTCAGGGCGAGCAAGGTGCATCCATACACACTCACTGTCTCCAACCAGCCCCTCTGCCTGGAACACAATGTCCTTTCAGTCTGTCCCAGGCCCCCTTCCTGTCGGAGCGCCCGCCCCCACCGCGCACCCCGCCAGCCTCACCAAACCTCCCAGGTTCCAAAACTCAACCCGGACCTTCCTGTCCTCGGCCACGGGCCTCTTGCCACACACCGCTTTGCTCCCCACCCCCCCGCGACCTCCGACCTCCAGGCTGAGCCCCAGTCCCCGTGGAGGCTGCCCGCCCCTTCCCAAGGCTCCGCCCCCCGCCTGTGTTCCCACAGTGGACGCATGTCACAGTCAGCACACCCGGGATGTTTTAACCCCCTCGAGGGCGGGGCTGTGTCACAGGCAGCCTGGCCAGGAGCCCAGCAAGAGCGCGTCCTGTAGGCAGCGGAGAGGCGGCCATCGGGCGGCCCACCCGTCCCCAGGATGCGTCTCCAGGGCCCCGTGAGTGTCTGGCCGAACCCCCTGCGGCACCCTCCACCTTTCACGCCGGGACCCTCTCTGACCAGCAGCCCTGTCTCTGCTCAGAACCCATCAGCTTTGCCCACTACCCACAAGCCCTGCAGGCGGCCCGGCGGCCCAGGGCTTGCTCAGGGTGGACGGCGCGCCCCTGACCGGCACTCTTCATTCGGAACCGGTGAAGCGCCGCTTCGAGGCTCTCAGGACCTCCCCCTTGGTTTGTGTGAGCGTCTGCTCTTGATTTTTCTGGAGGATTTCCCTGCCGTTGCCCTTCAGACCTAAACACAGGCCCCTCCAGCTCGAGTTGATCACCCCACTACATACTGTCCCCGTTTCCCATTGGGAACCTTCCCTCTAGCTCACCCCGTTCAGGGGAAGCCACAGGTTCCTCCCCACCCGCCCGACCCCCGCAGGCCCAGCTGCCAAGGGCAGCCCTCACAGGCCCGCTTTCTCAAGCTCATGACAAAGCTCCGCCCACCACGTCTGGGGAGCAGCCCCTGCTGGGACCCCTCCTCCCCAGGGACCCGGTCTGTGCCCCAGCCTTGCTCTCTGCATCCTCGCTCCTCCACACTGTCGGGGAGGCAGCCTCCTTCAGAGAAAATCCAGTGAGGCCTCCATCCCTTCAAGGGCCTGGCCCTGCATAGCCCACGCTCCCTCAGTGGGTCTATGAGGCCCTTCCAGCTGGACTGGTATGGCTTTAGGCTCCCGCCGGCCCCTTCCCTGCTGCCCTGCACTCTGACCCCCGGACCCCAAACCTGCCCCACTCCCTCCCTCAGCTCTTTGCATTGGGGGCGCCCTTCCCACCGCTGGCTGGCGATGCTCTCAGGCTCCGAAACCTCCAATCCCGTCTTAGTTCCTGCTCCGCAGCGCTTCCCCCTGGGAGGCGTCTCTGTTCTCCGCTTCCTGGACCCCGTTGTGATGCTCATGGCTCTGGCACTGGCCCGAGAGCGCCTGGAGGGCGGGCGCCACTGAGCACAGTGCCTGGCACACAGTAGGTGTCTACCAAATGCTTCTTCGACGTACTAATGCACGAAGAGCTACGGATTAACCTGGTTCCAAGTGAAATCATTCTCATCCATTGTCACGAACATTTTCTCTTTTACAACCCCAACCCCAACTAGGGGCACTCTAGTATTTCTCTTTCTGCCCTGACCCATAGCCATTTGGGGAAGCCTTAGGGGTAATGGAAAAATCAGTACTTCCCCACGGACACACTGGGCGCCACAGGCTCTTTTCTATTTTATTCTTATGTTCTGGAGAGCAATGATGGCCTGGTGTGAGCTCTCGGGTCCCTGCTGCGGGCCAGGCTGGCCCTGGGACCGGCCCCAGGGGCACTGTGGCAGCTGCCACCTCTCAGCCGTCACCCTAGTCACCAGCCGTGCAGGACCATGCGCACCGGCTGCCTTCAGCACAGCCACCTCAGCACCGGACACCTTCCCCAGCTGAGCCCGTAGCCAGCTGCGCACCTGGGCGCGGCCTTCTCAGCCTCAGGAGATGCTGGCCTGGCGCACGGGAGGGCTGGGGCTGCCTGCCCTATGAGGGGCAGCCTCTTCCATGCGGGGAGGTGGTGTCCGCTACCCTGGAAAGCTACCCTGGAAACCTGCTGGTCTTGCTTTCCCGCACCCCCCCACCCCCGCCGAGTTGGAGGAGGGCAGCTTCCTGTGGGAACCGGGCCAGGCAGCTTCAGCACCTCCTTCCAGCGGCGTCGAGGAGCCGTCCTGTCCGCCCTGCATCCTCGCTCCTTACCTCTGGGGAGCTCTCTCTGCATCTGGCCCCCATCCTCGTCCTGTGGAGAGGTGCTCAGATCTTGTAAGGGGCACAGACACCCGGGGGAAGAGGTGCCAGGTTTCAGGAGGCTTTGCTGCTGCGGAGACTCTGTGCACTCAGGAGGGTCGCTAGATGGACAGAGGCCTGGAGAGCGGAGCTCAGCGGGATGGAAACCTGCCACCTGCTCCCGCTCCACCGTGGGAGCCGACTGAGGCACACGTGCCTCTCGGTGCTTCTCGTTGCTTCCAGAAAAGGCTTTTATTTCTACTAAAAATAAAATGAGAGTTGTGCTCAGAACATCTGAGAACGCAGGCCCAGCTGACGCCCGGACTTCTGCACCTGGCGCCCTCCCAGGGACGGCAGGCGGGCTGCAGAGCTGCCGGGGGGGGGGGGGGGGGGCCTGGAGCTGCCACTGCCCTCGGAGCGGGACCGCCACTTCTGAGGGTACTTCCCCCGCACACGCTGCTCTTACGCGTTTGCCTCTGAAGGAACTGGGCTCTCTGGTGCCCTTAGGGACTCCAGTGACCTTGACCGTAGGCCATAGAGTCAAGTCCATTGCCCCTGGGGCCAGATGCCTGGTTCAGAGCCCTCCTCGACCGTCCCCAGCTACCCAGTCTCCTCGAAGAAATCGAGTTACTACTACTATAACAAGGCGGTAGTACTACGTGTTTTTATTTTTAGCGTAGTATCTCTTTTTATAAATTTACCTATGTATGTAAGAAGATATTTATGCACTTTCTGTGATTACATTTTATAGAATAACATTTATATTATTAAGATTAATATTAACATCTAGGTAGTACTAAAATAGAATAATGACCAGCATATTGTCATTCTTGCTTGGACAGCCTGTTTTCTTGCAGTAACTTGAGTATATTACTGCCTTTCTCCTTCTTTACAAAAATGCACAAAAATGAGAGTGTGAACCTGCTTGGGACTCACTGGATACAATTAAGATGAAGATGGAAATCACAGGCACCGGAAGAAGCAAACCTTGAACCTTAACTCAGCGGTTACTGGATGTCAGCCAGAAACTGGTTGATTTCGTGCTGAGTTGTGAAGGAAATGAACAAAATTAAAGAGCCAACTTGAAGTGCTTCATAAATACAATCAAAGATTGGGCCTAACGTGGGAAATACAGAATTAGGGATCTTAAAATTCTCTAGTCACAGAATCTTGTTTCTCAGCATCTGTTCGGGACATCGGCCGTGAAGAATCCCGATTTGGGGGCTTTGCAGGGCCAGCCTGACACGCGATTCCCCCGCTTCCTGCCTCTCACGTCAGCCCTGCTCCTCCTCCAACCCCAGTCGGACCCTCACTTCCAGAACCAGGTCTGGAAACCCCATTTGGGGCACATACAAATGCCTCCCGGGGTCCCTGTCGAGAGGGAAGTGCGGTCCAAGGCCGCGGGATTCCCGTGGAAACGGCTCTGGGCTCCGCTTCTCAGCCCCTCTGGGGCCGCTGGCAGCCCTCCCCGGCCGGGCTGACATCATTTTCCGGGTTTTCTCAGAGCTTCTCACAAACCTCGATCGTGTCAACCCCAGCTCGGCTGGAAACACGTGGCCCTGAGAGCGCCTTCTGCTAAGAACGCTGCTCCCTTTGAAGAACTATTTTTGAAAATCAGAACCAGAGAGAATCCCCGGGGCCTCTGAGGAGAAGCACATGCCATGTGAAAACAGCGACAAAGGCTAAGTGTCCAGCAGCCAAGCGAGCCCGGGGCCCAGGTGGCCGGCTAGGCCGCCGCCAATGTGCGGAGAATGGAGGCCCTGATGCCGCCTGGTCTCCCCTGCCCTCATCTCCAGGACGACGAGGCTCAGGCATCTCATGTCCCCTCATCCCTTCCTTCCTTGTCCCCTCCCCAAATGACCATCATCTCCCAATGAACCCAGCAGGTGGTGTCGCGGCGGCCAAACCGCTCCTCCGATCACTCCCGTTTCATGGGGACTTGCTGAGCTCCTCAGGTCTGGCCTCGGAGGGCAAGCCATAAGAAACAAGACATATTTCTTTCACGAGCTTGTCCTGAGAGACCGCTTAGGTACTTAAAAGTGGAAATATGTTTAACTGTTTTCTTAAACTCTACAGTGAGTATTTGTGTCTAGGAAAAGCATTTCCCTTATGTCCTAAAGAGGGGAGGGATTTCTTTGCAAAAACAAGCTTGTCACGGTCTTCCTGAAAACCATCTCTTTGGAGCCAGGTGAAGAGGGCAGAAATCTCTAAGAATGACACACTGGTCCTGAACCCACGTCTCCTCGGCAAGCCCGGGGACAGGAGAGAGGCCCTGCGCACTTTTATTTTTGCTGGCTGTCTCAGGCCGGCCAGCAGAGGAAACTGCTCCGCCTGACGTTTGGAAGGTTCGGGGGCACAGCTGTGCGTCACCTCACGCGCACGCTCCCCTGGCCGCGCGTTACACAGAATGACCACGGGCTGCGCACTGCTCCTTCCCACACTCCCCGCCTCTTCCTTTCTGGGGTCAGACTATCCAACTTATTCATCATTTCGAAACAGTAGGGAAAAAAGACGGTCAATTGGTTTTCATTCGGCTTTTAAATCTCTCCATGCCCAGCCATATTTCTCTAAAGCAGGGGCGCGCCCGCTTTTGGCACCTCTGGATCACACCGGAAGAAGAGGAGTTGTCCTGGGCCACACATTAAATACACAAACATTAACGGAAATAAAAAAAAAAAGTCTCATAATATTTTAAGTACATTCACAATCTTGTGTGGGCCGCGTTCATAGCCACCCTGGGCCACGTGTGGCCTGCGGGCTGCGGACTGGACCCCCTGCTCTAAAGCTTCTCTCGGGAAGGGCCATCGTCAGCTTCCAGCCCCTCTGGTTCTTCTGGTTCCTGCCACGCTCAGGGCCATCCTGTGTCTCACCTTGATGCCTTTCAAAGAAATCCTTTGGATCAAACGGTAGAGTAAACCCAGGGCCCTTTAAAAAGGGAGATTCCAGGCCTAGCCTGTCTTGAGGTTCCATTAGTGCTGAGTGATTTAAGAAAAATGGTTACGAAAATGGTCATTGTTAACATCTTTCCCATTAGCCTCAGGGGAAGCAGGGTGAGGAGGTCCAAGACCCTCTTTGTACTATTGTTGCACCATTTCTCTAAGTCTCCAACCAGTTAAAGCGTAAATGTTTTTTAAAAATGGTCACTGGTGTGAGGTTAAAACCAAACTTGACCAAGCAGCAGTTTCTGAACGAGTCCCAAGTCGTTCTCAGTAGCTCTGTAACGGGACTTGCTGTCCCTGCATTTGTCAGAACGCCAGAAATGGCGTAAACATGGTGGGAAAGCCTGTGCTGTCTTTATTAAAACACCCTGCGCCTCCTCGGCACGGCTCACGGTTTCCGCCCATTGGCTGCCGAGCAGAGGGGGACCCACAGCCACTCGGAACTGACCCCCACCCCACGTTCAGCTCTGTCCACCACGCGCCGTATGGCCCGTCAGGGAGGCGAGGGCACAGACTATCCCAGCAGGGCCGAGTTTGCAGCAGGGCCCCGTTCAGAAAGAGAGAAGGCATTTCACATACAAATGATGGGAAGGCTTGGAGCACACGCCCATAGAGCAGGGCTCTCCTCCCGCCTGGTTCCACCTCCCAGTAACCATGTGACCGCGCACAAGCCACCCCGTCCCTCTGGCCTCCAGTTACTCATCGGTACAATGGGATAGTCACCATCCTGCCCTGCGAGGAGGAAATGGACAATACGAAAACTCAAAAGAATAGTGCATTGTGCAAAGGTGAGTCTTTGTTATGTTTAACCAGCCCAAAGAGAGCCCATAGGTAAGGCACAGCCTTAAAAACATGATCCTTAATAGGATCCAGAGAGACTCCTTATTTCAAGTTTAGATGCACACAAGGGGACACAGGTAATAAGACCGTTCGCTCTGTTCCTGACCCATGTCCCACCCCCACGCCCAAAGACTGCTCCCCTGCCCACTTGTCAAACTCGTGGGGTGCAGGCTAGTGAAGGCCCATGGGGGTTGGGGGCTGGACACCCGCCGTGGTAGATAACAGCTGTCCTTTGCGTGGGGCAAGCCAAGCCGTCATCCTGAGCCCAGGGAAGCTCTGGGGGAGCGGGGGGCGGGGGGGGGAGGCGCGGGGGAGGGGCTCTGCTCTTGCCCCTTACACGTGCAGCCCCTCCTTGGGTCACATCAGGGGCTTTTCTGCTGGGAAGCAGGTAAGAGGAAAGGAAGTGGCGCCAGCAGCAGGGGCCGGAGGAGACCTGAGACCCTCAGGGGACTCAAACGCACCGCGGGGCCTGAAAGGGCAGCACCAGCCTCTGCCCCGCCAAACCCTTCTGTTACCCTCCTCGCTTTCAAAGATGCCCTGACACCTGGATGCTAACAATGCGCACCCCGGGGTGGGGGAGGGGCACGGGGAGACTCATGCCACACCTGCGCTTGACCCCAAACGGTCACCCAAGGTCAACGCTGGCCTACAAACATTCAGAATGTCTCCAAAAAGTCCTGTCACTGGGGGACAAGCTCTTGAGTCACACAGGTTTGCCCTGGAATTGGGGAGGCGAGTACAGTGAAAATCAACAAGGCATGGGGTTCCCAGCGAGCCAGCAGAGCCCACCGTGCCTGGATCTGGGGGCCTTCAGGGTGAGTCCCCACGCTCCACCCGCAAGGACACAGCTGGGGACGTGGCCACAGGCCTGCTGTTATTTATACACTTGCAGCGGGGCGGGGGGGAGTTCGTTTCCCCCCTGAGGATGCCTTTCTCTCATTAACGCTAATGAGCGTCACGTGGCTACGCTGAAGGCCTTTCATTTTCCAGATTTTCTAAAAATAAAATGTGGTGAAGGAAAACATATGTATTGTTTCTATTTGAGATTGTAAAAACACAAACAAAAAGGAAACAGACAGATTCACTGCCCAAGAGATCCTGCTCCCTCTCAATTATAACAACAGATCGGGGACTTGACGTTAACCAGGTCTGGATGGGGGATAATACGAACTCCTGCTGAACGTGCCACACAAGCACAGCGTAAGCAGCGCCCTCCTTGTCCCCTGCCCAACGCGCCCCCTCTTCCCATGCTTGATGACCAGGATACTGAAAGGCTTTCTTAGCTACTAGACTACGGTGGGGCCCTGTGTCAAGGCTCAGAATAGAGCTGTAGTCCAGGAAAGTTTACTGCAAAGAAAATTACTAAAAGGGGTTTTTTTTTTTTTAGGAAGTCCTAACGACTTTCACTATACATGTGTAATTATGTAGGGCAGGGATTTAAAAAATAGCTCTTGGCTATAATTCAATCACACTCTCACACAC